AAAATTAACTTTGAACTTAACTTTTCGCTTCCTATGCGTGAGATGCAATAATGGTTCAAGAAACAAAAAAATTATGTACGAAAGAATGATCCTTCTTAAATAATCTAAAAAACTAGAACAATATATTTTTTGACGTTTTGTTAATCAAATTTGGTAGAAGTTACATTATATGCATTATTACCAGTTATTTGTAAGTGTTGTATCAATATAAAATTAATCTTTCAAACAACAAACCAGCCTTTGCAGGATCTGAAATAAATAATTACTAGTTACCAATATTATAGACTCGTATGAGATAAGTATCTTATTTTTAGTTATTTTAAATGAAAGCAGGAAATGCATTGTTTACGTAACTGATTGATTAAGCGATAAATACATAAACACACGTTCTGCACAGTCATTCCTCTAAAACCGGTCTCGGATTAGATGGGTAAAACCCGACAACACACAAGTATTTTATGAAGCGCAATTATGTAATTTGCACGCTTGATCTAAATGTGATTCATAAATGATCATATTTATTTACATTTGCCACTATTTTAAGAGCGAATCCGCAATACAAATAAATACAATATTAGCCACTGATTAAATAAAGGAAATCCTTACCACATGTATCTGTTATATAAGAGATGCGGGATTCGGAAAAAAACATAGATTACTGAAATAAAACACTTTAAACGGTTTAAAACGCAGAACATATTGAGTAATTTTTAATTTAATTTAACCACAGCCCGACGTTTGAAGTGCAGGAACAAGGCTAAGAAACGTCGGGCCGTAGTTACAATAAATTTCAAGTAAGTTAAGTAAAATAAATATATTAGTTAATTTATACGTGTTCCAGAATTTGTAAATATATTTATGTGTTCGTTTCGATCAACTCTATTTTAGTAGATTCCGGTTCTTATTCCATCATATATAATATAGCATTGTCTATAGTTTACGAAAGTAGTGCATATTCAAATAAAACACATAAAACGGTTTACGATCCCATATTAATTATATTACATAATTTTAAATAACGGTACGACATTTCGGATGCTTTGCAGCAGTCGTAGTCACGACGGAAAAATAAGCTGAACCAAATAATTTTGCGTTTTAAACCGTTAAAAGAGTTTTATTTTAAGGTGTAGACTACTCGCGTGAAGTACAGACAATAGTTAACGTTATGTTTAATCAAACCTCTTACATCAGTATCATGTATTTTTCCAATAACGAGTACCGCAGATTTATAATAACGGTTCTGGTGGCGACCGCGCAGTTATCCATTAAATGAATCATTCTTCCAACGTAAAAAAGTAAATAGATGTTACATTTTGTCATTGATTAAGGAGGCCAAACGGTCAATACCTTATGCGGGTAACCGTTCGATTGCGGTTTATCGTTTTTTATGACAGACAGCATGGAGGTTTTTTGACGTAAACTAAAATACGTCAGCTAATTAATAACTAAAGAAGATGCCCTGGAGATATTTTGGATTTGGGATTTTGGAAATCCATAGATTAAAAAAAGAAACGTTTATACTTCACGGCCTTTTCGTTATGGTTCGTTAGTCGGGCGGAATTTTTTATATTCTACACTTTTTTAAGTGTTTGAAAACGAACAATTGATACATCTAATACAATTTATGTTGTGCTAGCACGAACTCGGTATATCTATTACCGTATTTTGGTATTTTGAAAAATTATAAGATATAATTTTTATGCGATGAGAAAATAGTTGTACTCGTAATAAAAATAACGATGGCTTTGTCGGTCTTTTTAGCTACTTTGCGATTTTATAAAGCAAAACAAAACCGTTGAAACATAAAAATGGTGTGTAGTGACGTAAGCAAGATTTTTCCATTGTATTAAAATAATACAATGGAAAAATCTTTTTTTAACAAGAATTGGAACTTGCTTTAAGTATAAACGTACTAAAAATAAATAATGTATGTCAAATAAACGTTAACAATGCAAAAAAAATGTCAAAATTACAAATCTACAATGATCAAGTTAAAAAGTATTATTATTAGTAGTATTTTCGGATTAATTTATTATAACCGTAACTCGTATAAAATCACAGCATTTCAAGAACAATAGAAAACAAATTTAACTTTCATTCAATTATTTCTACTGACACAAATAGTTTTCCTACTATTTAAAGATATTACATTTCTTTAACTAATAATTATTTTACCAAAGAAGTTTAAGTTTAATAGTTTAAGATAATAAAAATTTTAAAGTAATTTAAAATATTACTATATACCTAATTGACAAGGCGGATTCCCATTGCGTTAAGGGAAAGAGTACCCGGGTTCGAATCCTGAGACTATATAACAAGAGGCTGACGAACTTCTTGATGATAAGGAAATGAATTCAGTAATCGTTTCACACTGCCATACATTTATTGTCTGTAGTTTATTGTCCGTATTACACATTTAAATAAAATATTTTAACAGTTTCAAACGCGATATATTAGTTAAACTTATTTGAAAATTATTTTAACTACGGGCTTTCATTTCCTATGCTTTGCAGCAGCCATGCTTACGGGGAGACTAAAGATGGAGGTTGTCCCTGACGTCAAAGTAAAAACTACGATGCTAGCGCCATCTGTTCTGCCGATAACAGAAAAAATTCAAATAAGTAACCAATACATATCGCATTTTAAACCGCTACAGTGTTTTATTTATACATACCTATTTATTTTAACAAAATATTTTTTTCGAAATATATTATTCAAAGGAGATACTGACCGCTATTATATTATTGCGTAGTCTGAAAAGAGCCTAATGAATATGAATAAATTCATGTTTAAAGCGACGCTATGAATATTGATGCGAAAAATAACTGAAGCAATTATATAGAAAAACGTTCTGTTATATAACGCAACAGACACAAATTAGTTATGCTTCGGACAAAGGATGTTTGAAAAATTGTTTTTTAAAATAAAATAAATAAGTTTAAGTGCAAAGCTATGTTGTTTAATATGTAAATAGGATATATTGAATTTTCTCACCAATATTTGCTTTTCCGAAAACAGCTACAGTATAAATGACATCTGGTCTAATGGTAGTAATTGTAAATCAACGAGTCGTGGGTTCTTTTTTCACTCAGTGTATGTTGTGTGAATTTTATCACGAAACTCTGGATGTTATATGGGGTGGTAGAAATGTTAACAACCGGGTCACGAACCACCGTTCACAGGTGAAAAGTGTTTTTTTTTACGGCCTTTTCACCGCGCGTTTTAATTTGTGGATTTCCAAAGGTTTACCATTCTATAGGCCGATAATACCTATATGACTCGAGAATTTCACCTTCGATAGAGGGAACTCTTTGCTTCTTTGTCCTTCACTTCAATATATCTGCACGTTTTATTTAAAGACGGTATATTTATAACACAAGTTACACATATATAAACTCTATATCTTTAATGCAGTTAACTAATAATAATGTAAGCACTAGATCCTGGTTCGACCGTGCAACCACGACATCATATACAAGTAGTTAATGTTTAATAATATTGTTGTTTATAATCTATGCTAACTACTGGTTCAAATTTAAATGTTTTTGTATTGGATTGACCATATATGGAAGAAGGTTTAGCTTTAGGCTATATAACAACATTTTACAATCAATAGGAGCGAAGGAACAATGGAAATGTAAATAAAGAAGGAAATTTATGCGTCGTAGAAGGCTTTCGATTTGTGTGCGTGTGTGTGTAGAATCCCGTTTCCCCTTCGTGGGGCATGGGGTGAACACATTTCTGTGTCCGTTCCACTGATCCGTTCTTTAACAGGCAAGACAGGCAAGGCTGACTTCTGTGCCCTGCATGACCAAAATATTTTTTTTGTTTCTCTGGGATTCGATTCCAGGACCTCTCGCGCTTAACGCAATTAGGCAATACGTTTAACCATTTGGCTACAGAGGCGAAAAGGCGAAAACGATTTAGGAAACCAAAGTATTAATGAAAGAATGAGATTACTCTTTAAATTATGTGAAATAAATCGCGAACTGTCGCGTTTATATCTATCTTTTAAGATTAACGCGTAAGAATCGTTTTTGGTAATGGAATTTGGTCGACATTAATGCAATATTAGCACTTATTTGTTAGAGTTGTATCAATATATCTTGCAAACATCCAAACAACGTTTGCCGGAACATTTACAATATCTCACTATCATTTCTTTTAAAACATTTCTCTTGCTACGAAAAATTCTTGCTTTTATTGAAAGCATGAAATGATTGTAACAATCAATAATTAATACATTTTTTACTGTTTTGTTTTCAAAATAGACGTTTGTAACTTTTATATTTAGATTGTAGAATAAGTAACTAAAGCTTCTCCATTTTCTTTTTTTCTTTTTATGACTTTAACAAACTTGACGTTATTTTTTTTTTATGATAGAGGAGAGACAAACGAGGATGACGTTCACTTGATTTTTACAATGTGCGCTGTCGACCTATTTTAACTTGAGATATAAAATCCACAGACTGGAACCGCAACGCGATTAAACTCCCGCCTATTTGTCAGTAGAACATGGTTCGGCCCGGACAGAATTTCGATATTTCTACCACCAAATTAATATCCAAATCACAACCGGTGGGGATCCAACCCACTACACGTTTAGTATTATCATCAACGAACCCGTCAGAAAACTTTATGTGTAAAAAGTCTTTAAATATCAGGAAAATAAATAGTCAAATGTTGCACTCTACTTTATTTGTGCTCCTTCTTAGAATCTAATTTAAGTTGGCCTAATCCCAAAGTTTAGATAAGTTTTGCCCAGGCGCACAAAAACTTGCAATGATTGAGAAAAGTTACTCAACATCGCTCTCTAGACTTATTTAATCAAATCAAAAAACTTAAAATAACGATAAAATATTTATTCACAAACTAACAATACAAATTCGGATTGCAATATAGAGGAATTATAAACGAACGCAGGACTTTCCTCTCATTTATGGCACTTAAAACAACAATACTGGTATTTATCACAGCCGGCTTGATACATCTTCAAGTTATTAGCCGCTTGATACGAAACCACTTGGTCGTTGTGGGTAAGTTTGAGGGTTTCTCCTTAAATCATCGTATTGCTTGGAATTCAGATACCAAAATGGCCGCTTGTCGATCGGCATTTGTTCTATCCTGTTAATTAAGTTTCCATCTCCTCTGGCCTCTATGGGTGCGTCGGAGTCTTCGCCGAATCTATTTAATAATGGTGCTGAATCGACCACTGGGTAACCGATGGGACGGAGGCCAGCGTAGAATGGTCTCTGGGCATTTACTACAGCTAGGAGCACTGTTATCGTAATTATTAGTCTGTGGAACGCCATTTTCTGAAAATAAAATTGGAATATTAATCGTGTTTTGATGGAATTAGAGAATCATATAAAACAAAGGTTGTGTTATAAAATTATTATATTAAATTCATAGTTTACAAATCGAAGATAAATTTAAAAATATTTCGACTCGGGCAGGACTTGAACCGGCATCGTCAGCATTTTACATTATTTAGTGCCTTCATGTGCAACATGTAAAAAATAATAAAGTTTTCAAACATTAAATTAATAAATTAAAAACCGATTTAGATTTCAAAGATTTTAAGACATGGGGGGACTTGAACCGATATCCACAACGTACCGTGCTGTTACGTTCCATTTGAGCTATACTGTCCGTAATTTACGCGAGTAGTATAACGGACAGTATACCAAATGGCATTTAAATGAAACACTTTAACGGTTTAAAAGGCGAATTATATTAACAACGTTTCGGATGCAACGTAACGAATTATTATTATTTATATTTTGTGATCATGAAAGTGTTTTATCTACCGTTTCGATTTTTTAAATTTAAAATCAATCATTTTTGAAATGATATTTTTTAATGATAAATATTGCTAAAAATTTTTAAATGTACAATATATAAATACAACAAAAAAAACAAAGCTAGTTAATATAAAACTCAATAAATAAGTAAATACATTGTAGTAATTATTAGAAGTAAATAAATATTTATTACAATATACCTTTTGTTTATGATCGATGTCAAAGACTGTGAAGGTCGAATATTACTGGCAGCGCGTATTTTCTTGGCGGAGTCAAAACTTGTTATGAATGCATGTGGACAAATCGCCGTATAAATATCAGCGCAGACACACCTTATCACAGCGTCACGGCTACCATAGAGCTAAGAATATAACAGACAGATAGATTCCCCTGATAAAAACTAACCATTTTACTTTGAAACACTTTTAATCATGGCCCGACGTTTCAAATACTTGCACCAACAAACCGTTTACAAGTAGTTAAAATATATTGCTTATAAGTTAACTAATACTATTCGCTTTTAAAACCGTTAACAATGTTTTATTTATATAATCTATGTCTGTCTACTCTACAACTACTCTCGTAAACTACAGGCTATACAAAACCTATGTTTCTAAGCTTTTTATTATTTAGACGTCTAGTAGTAGACTAATCCACTTATGATCGTTCAAGCTAGGATCAGCATCATACATTTTAAAATACTACACAAGGGTTCATTTTTGCTGACGAAATACAATTCAAACGAAAACACACACGTACGGGGTACACAAAAATAAAGATTTCCCGGGTTTTAATCCTGGAGAAACAAAAATTACTTCGATGGGACAAGCCATAGATTCAGATCTGATTAAGTAGTTGACTAAATAATTGAACAATGAAACGGACACAGAAATGTATTTGCTCCATGCAGGGCAAAACGGGTATCACTTAAATAAAAATGATTTACCTCCTTTTTGAATTTAGAAATACATATATTAAAAATCGATTATAAATTTAAAATAAAGACTTGGGCAGGACTTGACCTGGCATCCTCAGCATTCCGTGCTGTTGCTCTTACCAATTGAGCCACCGAGTCCTACACGTCATCATATATTGAAAACATTCGACGCAACTATATATAGAAACTTATAAGAGAACGACCATGACCTACATTCATAGAATTAAAAACAAAGCCACGGAGAGTCTATACATTTTTAAGCCAATGTAAAAACCCAGAGTTGCCCCGCATGATACGTCAAGCGGGATCCTCATCTTTCCGGAGCGTGACGTAATAAATCCACCACGTCACTATCGCTCGCCCAAGACCACTGTAAGCTGACCCCGCTCGCTATGTCACTGAGACTGTCTCGGGTCTCTTCAATCTCTAGATTTGTTTGGCTGCAACTTTGCATTAAAGAAATAGGAGTTGGTATTGAAATTTTGCGAAAATTATAAATATTCATTATTTTGCAAAGTTATGACGTAACGTACTTATACTCCTGGGTCAATAGTGTACTAATTTTCTTAGAAAAATCTCTGCGCAGGCATCTCTATCAAATGGCGTTTATTTACGTTATCGGTCTTTCTGTGAGAGCGTTTTAAATTTTCAGCCGAAATATTGATTTGATATTGACACTTTTTGATTGTATTTTAAATTTTTTTTTGCCTTGCTCTTATTATATCTATTATAAATTTACATCAATTATACACCTAATTTTTTTCAATGTATAATCGATTTTTTATTTATATGGTGCCGCCATGTGAAAAATAAAAAATAAAAGGTTTTTTCTTATTGAATAGTACAATGTGGTCGTTGGGTCAATGGCAACCATTTATGGGTAATAATCGATGGTTCATGGGTTCGACTTTCACTGAGTACAAAATGTTCCTAAAATGTTTAAATTTGTGTGAAAAAACTAATCGGAGTTTTGAATTCCGTTCACATCTCGACCCACAATCCACAGATAAAAAGCCGTGAAGTGAGTTATTTTGTTTCTTTTTCAGTGAGGTTTTGAATCCTAAGCTAAAGTAGGCCAAAAGAAAATCTTATTTAGATATTATACGGGTGGGGTTTCACCTTTCATCTAGTGGCTTGTCTGGTGATATAAGATATTTGTCGACTTTTTTCACCAATCGACTTCTAAAGGCGTTAATATTTTGTCACCGTTTATAGAATTGCACCTCTATTCCTGGATCGTTATCTTAAACTAGTAATTACTGTCAAACGAAAGATATATAATACTAGCTGTGCCAGCGACTTCGGCCGCGTAGAATAGTTATTTTGAGCATTAACTTTGCCCACGACCCACGACGTCGCGCGTCTCGTCGTTCTTGGAAGTTAATCTTAAAAGATAGACCTATAGCGTCGCGGACTTTTATTTAGATAATATAAAGAGGAACCATTATTTCATACATATTTATTTTGCTACTTGAACTGTTCTTGCAGCGTACGCCTCGGTAACCCATAATGATGAGTAATTTTCCCCGTTTTTTTCACATTACCCGCTATTTATATTTCGCTCCTATCTCGTCACATCGCAATGTATTAGCATATGCATTCCTTGATAAATGCTCTACCCAAGACAAAAAAATAATTTTTCAATTCGAAACAGTAGTTTCTGAGATTAGCGCGTTCAAACAAACACACTCTTCAGCTTTATATAATTATAGATAGAATTGGATGAATTTCTCGTTACAAAATGTACCACTTCTAACTTAAGATTGAAATCTATATGGTACAAGTGAATCAGATATATTGTTAGTTTGATGACACAAGCGAGATCCGAACCCACGAAGACCAACAAAGATCGTGCCCTGGTCTACCAAGGTACTGTTAGTAATATTTGATACAAAAATGTCAGAAAATTATAAAAGTCGCTGACACAAGTGAGATTCAAAATTACGACGACATGCCGTGTGTCATTAAACGCTATTGGCGTTTATAACCCGTCTCTTTATATTCTCTTAACTAAGTTTACTCTAGACGATATTGCCGTCTTACACAGTTCTAAATGTAATTCGGTTTGTATTTGTTGAAGATTGATTTATTAATACATCTCTTATCAATTAATAATATGTACTTTCCTACTGATAGCGTCTATTAGAATGAAAACTGATTCATTTTATGACGGTATCGTCCAGCACGAACAAAACCCTCGGATCACGATTCACAATAAGATTATTATCTGACCTTTAATTGTTTAGCGATGGAAATATTGCGAATCCAATACTCAATATCTCACAGCTATACATTCTTCTTGTAATGGTGAGGCATATTTAATTATATTAACATTACTAGCTGTGTCAGTCTTCGTTTGAGTCTCAACTTTATAAATGTATGCTGTTACTCACGACGTCGGTCGCGTCCCTTCCCGTCGTTCTTACAGGTTAACCTTAAAAGATAGACATATAGCGTCGGCAATTTATATAAGTGAACCCCAAGCTTGTCTGTCCTACTCTATCATTAAAAAAAAAGTCCTAATTACAGTCTCATTGCTAAGATGTATGTATTCTTATACATACGACAATTTATACTAGACAAAACGTAGACTCTGAACATAGTTGTAAATATTATGAACAATTATTAATTATAGATCTTATTCATTACTGTGGTTTTCGCCTTGGGAATTCATGTTATTCCTTTCAGCAAGTAAGTCGGAAATTGTAGCTATAATTAAGTAGCACAGCAACTATTCCTTAGACCGTATAACAAAAGTTATGCAAATACAAGTTCTTAAGAAAAGGTTTTTTTATTTTAACTACATATATGTTTTTATTGTTTTAGTATTATTATACTACTGTATAGAATGAAATAATATGTATTTTCCAGAAATTGTGCTAACTAAGCGAAGGATTTCAACGTTCCCACATAAAATTTTTAGTAGATATATGACGTTTATAGTATTATACAAAATTTACGTAAGTCCTGCCTGAGTCGAAAAGTTTTTTCAATTTATTTTAGATTTTTAAATTATATAGTGCCTTCATGTGCAATAACATGTAATAAATAATAAAGTTTTCAAATATTTAATAAAAACATAGAACGGTTTTAAAACGCGAAAAAAATTACAATTTAGTTAACTACGGCCCGATTTTTCGAATGCTTTGGATAATTAAAAGTGTTTTTTTTTTTAATTTGTACTAGTTGTATAAACTACAGACAATTCACAAACAAAGGCTTCGGTAGAGAATAAATTAAATAAGTATGACGAACTATCGTCTGCATCTCGCTACATTTTCTATGTTTTCTTCACTAAGTTTTAATATATATTATATTACAAGTATTTTCTTTTGCCTCAAATAACATATAGAGTGCGTTTAGCATTTCGCCTCCTCGGATAAGCAAAAGTACAGGCATCTTAAATTACAGAGAAATTCCCCTTATTGACAAGACACTATATTGGACGGATATTGGTTGTGGTTCGCGCAAGAGTAATTCCGACCGCAGACCCAATACTATAGCTGTTCCGAATTAGGCTGCCTACTCACGAAATGAGTAATTTAACGCTTAACTGAGTGACATGTTATTTACTTTCCCGTTTCATGGATATACACACTTATCGATAATGTTCTTAAGTGGTGTTGGTCAATGTATACTTGGTTTTATCGTTCATTTATGCCGCAGTACAATTAAACCGTAATTACTCAACGCGTTACGCTTAAACATAATTTTGTTCCCAGGTAAACAAAACAATGTAAGCACAGATAACAAGCTAATTTTGACATTTATTTGACCAGACATGAACGAAATTTATTTAACATCACTATTGTCTGTAGTTTACGGGAGTAGTACACATTATAATATAACATTTAACGGTTTAAAATGCGAAATATATTACTAAAGTTATTTAATGACGTTTCGGCAGCTGCGATAGTAGTCTGCCCGGGTAGTCCAACCGTTAAAAGTGTATATTCAAAAGTTTTCACTTAATTTAAATACTATTATTATAATACAATTCTGATACAAATTAAGAGAAGAAATTTTTTAAAAAAATTTAAAAACTATAACAGTTTTCAATACTAACGTTAGTTTAAACTTTAAATAATTTAATTAACTAACACAGCAAGGTATCACTTAAGAAGATCTGTATTTCAATATAATATTAAGTTTTCAAATATTAGCTTAAAGGACATCTAAGTGTATAAAGAATTAATGTTTTTTATGACCCACTTTTATTCCCTTGGTATAAGATGAACTATCAAAGCCATATACCGTTTTAAAAAGTTGTCGACCCCCATTTTGATCTTGGACTTGAACCAATATTTTGAACTATCTCTTAGAAGTTTTATGATTTTACTTAAATTTCATCAACATTCATAATAAGTTATCTTAGTTATAGAATGAGTACTTTTACTGTCTAAAAATATACAATATTTCGCTCGCGAATCGCTATATTTTCTCGTAAATCCCCTTTACTTTTGGTTATTTCTAAAATCTTGTACCTAATTATGCCAGTCGTTTCGTTTTCTTGTAAAAAATATCTCGTCTTCGCGGTATTCATTTCCAAACAATATCCACTTTGAATTCAAAAAACCAGCAAATCTTTATTGTTCTTAAAATCTGTAGGCACTTATTTGGAATGAAATATCGACAATATTTTTAATCTCAATAGCTTATAGTACTTAAGTTACTTTAAGATTTAGATTATTATACAGAACCTATATAATGAAACCTCTGACATGTCATCTATTGAACTTTGTCTGTAGTTGTGTACACTTTAACGGTTTAAAAGGTGAAATGTATTAGTTAAAGATGAAGAGTTTATTTGAACGCACCAATCCCAGGAACCACTAGTTCGAATTGAAAAAATATTTTCGTGTTGGGTTGATTATTTATCGAGGAGGGCTTTACGTTGAGACATCACGCTGCGACAAATTTGAGCTAAGAAATAGTTGGAATTGTGTAAAAAACGGCGAAAAATATTTATCTTTGTGAGTTTCCGTCGCGAAAGCTGTACACGACGTATGTAGAAAAGAATGGCGACGGTCTATCTTTAAAGATTAACTTGCAAGAATGGCGGGACGCGGACGACGTTGTGGGTAACACTAAACTAAGATTTACAAAGATGAGGTTTCCAAAAACAAATTTTGATGCCCAAAAAACGGACGAAGACGCGACTTCAGATATTAATTTATATAGCAGAACAACGTTTGCTCGGTCAGCTAGTACTGTTACAATTTTTAAAACTACGATTCTGCGCTTCTTCTAATTTTCAAGCAACGCTTTAAACATCGCCCTTGCGTCAGAAACTGCGCAGTTAATAAAGATTTATATTATGGAGAGGCTAAACTTAAACGACAGTGATGATGCCTGCACTTGGTTATTTGTTTATTCATCTCTGAAGCAGTTAATCCTAAAATCCGCTGAACGCAGAGAAACGGTTGCGCAGTTTATTTATAAACTCGGGACGGAAATTTATCATGACGTCACTTTCTACCCCAATTCGAGACTATAATATATAGACTTTTCAAACAACTCTGTATGTTAAGTCTTAGCATTGCCGCTGAGGCTACATCGTTAGAGCTTGTTGCTTGAGAGGTCACAGGTTCGAATTCTGGGAAAACAATATAACACTTTAACGGTTTAAAATGCGATATTAGTTAAACTTATTTGAATTATTTTAACTACGGCCCGACGCTTCGGATGCTTTACAGCGGCTGTGTTGGGGACCACCGTTGCTTTTTATTAAATTGTACTACAGCATTTAAAGGATTCTTATTATCGCCCAGCACAGACGACCCCATCGTCTCACGACATGTTTTTCCTTCTCCTAAACATGTATAAAAAATACATTTTGGTATAGAAATATGAGTTAATTTATTATTTTTTCTTTTTTTTTTAGAGGGGGAAACAGTTCCCTTGATGGAAGGTGAAATAACCTAAGGCCTAACCATATAACGTCAAACAAGATGCTCTGTCGTCTATTTTCGTTTTGGATATTCGATTTTAAATGTAACTTCGGCCACTTCTTTAAATTATACATCAACGCGGAATATATTTTTGGAAATAAATAATTGTTAAAAGATTCCTATAATCCACTTTTTGTTGAAACATTATGTGCTGTCAAACGAGTTAATAAAAGGGTTTTAAACGATCGCGGGCGTGACAAATATTATCCTCTCCTCCTTTTAGGCCCATCAGTACTTTTCCAAATCGGTGTGGTTATAAATATTCATTTACGTGCTTAATAGTATCAATACATTATCATCCCACAGATGGCCTTAAGTGTCCTTTTGCAAACGAGTTTTAGAACCTAAGAGCCCACCACGCTGCTCCAGTGGAGGTGGGCTACCTATGAGTCAGAGTGGCGAACTTTTAACACCTCCAGACTTCAGAGTGGTATTAGAAATTTCTTAAAAAAAATACAAATACCGAAGTAACATTTGCCGCTGCCGAGGATTTGAATTCTGGACCTCGTTGTCTGCAATCGAGTGCAGTAACCACTACACCATCAGATTCTTAAACTTGACAGGCTCGTTGGCATGGCTAATCAACGAGTAAGTGAGTGATCGTGAGCTCGATCCTCACCCAGACAGACATGTTTCTAAAAGGGAGGGGGGGGGATTTTTTTTTTTTCTTCTTATAATGTTTGTTGTCATGTTTGACTTCGTCTGGTTATCTGGATGTTAAATGGCTGGTAAAGTTATCCTATTCCGTGCGTAACGAATCACCGTCCTGATGATGAAAAAGCTGTGGGGTTTAATCGCATTTCAATGTTAGTATGTGGATTTTCTTATATTCGAAGCTAAAATAGGTCGACATCGCACCTAGTTTAGATGGCCGGTATTCACCTCACCTTTCAAAAGAATCCCATGCCCTCCTCTGACAAAAGATAATAATCGTTTAGTAAGTAGAATCATGAATATTATTTTTGTATTTACTTTGTATTGTTACTTGAAAACAAAAGACAAAAATATGACTCAGAAGAAGTCAATCAACTATGACTAACGTTAAACAAAACAATTCAAAGTTTCAACATGTGTTTAAGTATGCGTATTGGGACACCAAAACTGGGAAGGAAGAAGGATGAAACCGCAAATATGTTTAACTATTGTCTGTAGTTGACGCGAGTAGTATAGAACAAAGAAGTTTGTATAAATGTCTGTGCGTAGTTCAATAAAAATGCAACAAAATATATGCACGACTTAAATGTACATTGGACTATCGAAGACCAAAACTTTATTTGATGATGTGAATACTAAAACCTCACACTAGACCTAAGATAAACCAACAAAGCAGATCGTGCTCTCCAAGATAGAGGTGGACATACAATCATGCAATTCACCTAATGGAAGATGAAGGCGAATAATATCTCAACAAGATATGTTGTCGACCTGTGTTTTTGAGCTATGAATGATGAGCCTGGAAATCCACAAACTAAAACCGAAGCGCCAAGAAACCCAGGAGGAAATTTTGATATTTCTACCAAATTACATTCATAACTAACATACATTTCCAGATGAGATCAACTTGTTTTTGGAAGATAATAAATTGACTAGAAATATGTTGGATCCGACTAGAATCGAACCTCCCTTTGATTACAAGGCATTCGTGCCTACTGTAGTACCAAAAGGAAATACGGAATATTTTGAAGACATTTATTTAATAATTAATCGTTATAATCATACAGTTAGAAGTAAGTACAAGAATAAGCGGAGTGAAATTTTCTTTACAAAAGTACTTAGAACATAAATATATACATCTAACATCATTTAATGTATATACAATTATTATGACTAGATATCTAGATAAAACTAACAATGATAACATTCTTAAAATAAACGTAGTACCTAGATGGAATTAACTTTTACCATTAGTTGGAAAAAGATTAAATTTTAGATACGATTAATACAAAGATTATTATTTTTTTTTTACGTCGTATTTTTTTATTTAATTCCTTAACTAACATTTTTGATAGTTCATATTTACAAAATGCTCATGTATAAAAACTAGATTTATAAGAGAAAACCCCTTTTTCTTTCCTACCGATCTTTGCTAACTATCTGACTCAAAATCTGCGATAGATAGAGAATTTGAAAACTTCACAAATTATATATTTCTTTACCACAAATTATATTAAAGTGTACAAATAATATTAAAGTGTGCTAAGATGTACCAAGTACGGATCCCTTTATGGGTGACTGAATTCTTTTCTCTGATTGGTCAATGTAATAAATAACATTAAAATAATCACAATTTGACTAGCTTAAATAAATTCTGATATACATTTTTTTTGCAAAAATATTTTATCTCTTTCATCTTTAAAGTTTTATTGGTCGAGAGACGCGGTGGTATAGTATGACTCATGTTATTAAGATCGGGGGTTCGATCTCCATCGAGAATTACATTAAGTAAAACATGCAACAGATCATCAAACCGATATGTCCTAGGACTAAAAATTCGACCACACGAGTCATCAAATGCTGTTAGCCAATAACGTGCATGTCCCAGCAGTGGGACGTGCGGCCATCCAAAATCTGTTGAAAAAATAGTAATGATATTTTTTTTACAGAACCTATTCCTTACGTAGACATGTCTTTTACAAATGGAATTATGAAACCGATCTATCTGTTGATGCATTTTTCGTTGACATCCGTGAGGAAATCGTTGGAATCTCTGATGGTCATGATTGTGACACCGTCGCTATTCCTCGATATGATGTTGTTCTTCTTTTTACTTCCATAGTCGTAGTTGGAGATTACCACACTCTCTGTTGGGTTCCTATAAAAAATGAGAAACGCATTAAGCTGTTGTAGCGAAGCTATATTTAATTTGAAGGCATGTAAAATAAAATTTAAGTTTAGCTGTCGTGGCGCATAGAGTAGACATAATTGTGTGTCTGTGCTACTGATTGTATTTACAGAAAAGTATTCATCGGACTTTGGTGTTCTTTTAAAAAAAATATCTAATTGTTCTTTCTGAACTTGACTACAGAACCCTCAAAAGGGCTGAGTTTTCGTCTAAACAGGGCACAGAATTGTGTCTTTGATTGCCCTTGGCTCACATCATATAAGCAGACACACGTATACAGACAGAAACAAGAAGGCTTCACTTTTTAATAATATCTAAGAGAGTTACAAAATCAGCCTATAACAGAAATTACGAAGCCGGAAACATGACGCTGTGTCAACAAATAAAGTATTATATTTTCCAATACGCTCGGAGTAAGATAAATATAAGATATTGGCAAAAAGAAGAAAAAATATAGTTATTGCATGTAAAGATAAGGCTCTTGTTTGCTTCAAAAATTATAATAATTGCTTAACCTTCCTTGGAAGGTTGCAGAAGAGTTACAGAAATGATAGTTTATTTTCCTTACCACAAAGGTTAATGTTACATTTTTTTTTATTTATAAAGAATAAACTGGCTAAGTGCGAATCGTTTTCTCCTACAAATGATTTCGTACCATTCCCTAGGCACACGAATTCCATACTTTTTTTTTTATTTCAAGTGAATGAAAATCTATTTAGTTTAAAAATATACGACACGGGCGGGTCTCGAACCGGCATCCACGGTGTACTTGCTGCTCTAATTAAGCTACCGTACCGTTATTTTAAGTGCCTTTATATGTTATAAAGCAAAATATATAGTCCTTCTAATTTTTGGTTTCCCTTCACATTTGGTTGTCTGGAAGAGATCGCTGTTTAGCGATAAGGCAACCTTTTAGTTATAAGCTAGTGCACAAGTCTTGTAAACGATTCCTGTGGTCTTTGTAATTAATAAAGTTTAATAAACATATAAATAATTTGAAATATTTGTTATATATAATGGAGTTCCATTTTAACCTGTTCGTTTAATTTAATGTAACATTTCACGTAATAAATGGATAAATAAATTATTAAATATTAAATTTCTTAAACGATATATTGATTTTATTCCTTAGGTAAAATTAAAATGCAATACAAAAATATATAAAACGACACATTACATCTTATATGAACTGAAAGTTCAGTTCATATAAGATATAGATAGATAATATAATATATTAATTAACTCTTCCTTAACTTTACCATTCTTATAAGTAGATCTTACCTAGATGTATTGGTTATTTCTATTGTTTCTTCAGTAGTTCTAGCCCTTGAGAAATAAATGGACGTTGCACGCTATTCAAAAGATGAGTCATATTGAATTGGGTTCGTGACACTGGTACAATACCATCGGATATACAAGGATTTTACCTTGTTTTTAAATGGACGTGCTATCAAGGGATTGAATAATTTTGCATGAATTGAGTGAAACCGTTAGTTAGACTAACTAAAGTGATTTTCGTCTAGATGTTTTTATATCTTGCGATTAAATTAAATGTCTTTTTCTTCAATAATAGTATGTAATAAATTTTATTGCGACACAGGAGCTCAATTGTTAATATTGTGGATGCCGTTTCAAGTCCCGCCCGTGTGATTTTTTTTTCATTTGAAATAGGTTTTAATTTAGACTATTAATGATTTTTTTACTGTGTCCAAGACTCTATGCTTTACACGAATAGTACATATTTAAATAAAACAGTTTTAACGGTTTAAAACGAGAAAAGTATTAGTTATTTTTAATTTAGGGTAACTGCTGCCCTCATTTCGGATGCTTCACAGCAGCCATGGTTACAGTAGGATGTACTTAAATTAAATTATAAACATAAATAAATTTAACTAGTACTTTTCACCGTTAAACGTGTTTTAAACTTAATAAATTCATTTGTCATTAAACTAACGCGACTTTTACTGAAAAATTTTCAACGTGAGACCGTGTCTCATGTCGTGACTAAATAATATTTTTCTATTGAAGGAATAAACAGTTTTGGATCAACGCTAGAACCAAGACCTATACCTACATAAAATCAATCTGTGAAAGAAACAGGAAATATATATTTTCATTACTGATAGCTTGAGAGTTAGTACTACTACTAGTACTTAATGTAGATTATTAATTTATAAATCGAATAGATAGTTGTTAAAGATATAAGTTACTCCGACACTTCAGCGAAAAACATTCTTGAAAGTATCGACTTTACACAAATGTCACCAGCGAAATTCCCTAACAAATATACTTTAGAAAATTTTCTCACCGATTACATCGAAGCCTTTGTGTGCTCCTAAAGGACGTCTCACATATGGCCGTCCGGGACAATCTGGAGCTGCAAGTTGGATGGAGGGCACCCCGCCGACAACACAGGTACCTATTGAAGTGTTGTCTAAAAACGCCGCTAACGCAATAGAGCGCCACTGGGTTCACACAGGAGTTCAGAAAGCTGTGGACGACAAGCTGTTACAATTCTCTTTTCAAATTCAATTATAGAAGAGAAAAGTTAGTCTTGAAACTACAGCGTTTCCACTATAGCATATAAGGTTGAAATAAGCTTTTACGGCAAAAAAGAGATTCGTGTTCAATAAATAATAATTTACGGGTCGTTAGTGGTACATATTACAAATATATGACTACTAATTAATAGGTCGTAATTTCTAATATAGCTGAAACATGTTGTACTTTGTCTGGAATTCAGGATATTAAAAGTAGGGATATCGGAAATTCCGTTCGAGTCACGACCACCGTCCTCAGATGAAAAAAACCGTTAATTTTAATCGCGTTCAGTTCGGTTTCAGATATATTTTACAATCTTAATCTACAATATCTCTTATTAATATAAATTATAGATTCGAAACGAAACATATGAACGATATAAAAATATTTTATTGGAAACCGGTAGCATGTCATTCGCAGACCGAACCGCAACTCATTTTTTGATAAAATGTTTTTATAGTGCGTTTCGTAAAGCTATTTAAGTTTTGTCTGTATGTGTGTCTGTAGGCGCATAAAACGTGAAATATTATTTTACTTTTTAATTTGTTTGTTTAAGATGCTTGTTTAAATTTAATTTTAAAATGCTTTTCAGTTCAACAAAACTTAATTAATATATTACAACATTATATGAAACGAATTCATACCTCTTTTTATAGTACCTATCGTTATAAGAGTTTATTTTGTAAAGTTTTGCAATCCGAAGACAATTTTGTCAAATGTCAGGAGGTACATATTCGCTTAGTATTAATATCAAGCGACCTATATCACCAATACAAGAATGTTAGGTTTTTAGAGTAGTAAATAGGGCGGAAAAAGTCGTTCGCCACGAGGGAATCATTTCATTAACTTTGATTAACTTGGAATATTTTATCGAACTTCGTTTAGACGTGATACGAAAGCGGAATTTTTATGGACGCCTGATGAATTTAATTAGCAATTTTGAGTCGACCACATTTAGTCAAGTTAAGAAAAATATGGTTAAACATGTTCAAAACGAAATCAAAAATAATTTTTACCGAATTGAATTAACTATAGAAAATTTAGACGTCATATCTTTCAAAATTCTATCGTTCGGATAACGAGATACATTAAACGTTTCATCCTCCCGAACTTTCCGAAGGAGCACATCAAACTTTGAGTGGAGTTAAGATGTAAATTGCTTCTAAATTTTCTTTAGACAAAGTTTGACAAACATTGCTCACCTAAGACAGAAACCCATTATTCTTAAAGCGTGAATCCAATCATTGTAATCGGTCTGGGCTGTTGGCGACAAGTAGAACCACATCTCCAGAGCGTGATACGGTAGGAAACATATGAAAAATACTGAAACAAACGAACAATTTATATGTTACCTGTAATCTGTTTTATCTGGTATTCTACACATTTTTTTTTTACGGGTGTCATGGTAGCAATGTACAATTAACGGGTCGTCCGACATATGTTGGACTTCGTCAGGAAATCTGGATATTAAATGTACAAATATTAATATTTCGTCCAGGTCACGAACCAACGCCCAAAGATAGAAAAGCCGTGAAGTTTAATTTCGGTTTCAGTTAGTGGATTTCAGATTTTTCAGCCAAAATAAGTCCACTTGCTGAGATGTCATATGGTGGGGATATTTCACCCACCAAGAGAATCCTACGCCTATCTGTCGTCGTCTATCACAATAAAATTTAGGTATATTTTTATATAATAAGGCTTACCTAATAGAAATGTATCCACCCAAATTCTATTAGAGAAAGATTTACCTTAATTTTATAGATAAACAAGTTAGCATATGAAAAACCTAGACCTGATAGATATATAGTCAACATCGCCGGGAGAAGAGCTGGTATTCAATTCCTGGAATTATATTAATTACCCGTATATCTGTAGCGTACAATAGTATTCATTATATTTCAAATAATTTCCGGAGTAAAATAACTGATTTAAACACATTGAAACATACAAAAATATCTATTTTCTTCTGAAAAGATAGCAATGTGAAGCGACAAGTTCATTACAAGAGCCTAATTTTTCCTTATTATTTGCGAATCGTTTAAGTAAAATATTAGATTTTCCTGAAAATAGATTGGCGAAAATATTTTTTTACTTTGGATGGTAAAATCAAATCAAATCAAGTTATTTATTCAACATAAAATTAAACGAAAATAAATTTAGATATTATTAAATTTAGATATTAAATTAAATGAGTGAATATCGAATTTTTGCCCGAGTCACGAACGACCGTCTACAGATGAGAAAGCCGTGAAGTGAATCGCGTTTAGGTTTCAGCCTTTAGATCTCCGAATGTTCAAAGCCGAAATAGGCCGACAGCGCATCTTTTTGATATGTTATATGGCTGGGGGATTCCATAAAGTTAACGCCACGCTCGTCTGTCCTCCTCTTTCATAGAAAACCCGAAACTTTTTTGTTTCCGATTCTCGAACCCAGGAAATGTCTATAGATAATTATCGCCTATTATTTGCCCCTTATTCCCACCAATCGGAGTAATCAAGACTCCATCAACCTTTTGTTTGCCTAACAATGCCTCTAAGCTGAACACTATTGTATGTTCAGTAATTGGTCTGTCAGACGACAATGATCATCAAATAATACTATGAATCTTGTTTAATTTCATAGATAAGATTATTTTCATTTAAATAGTGCGGGGTGACGTCACCGGAGGAAAAACAATTTGTTTATGTCTTGTGAGAAGTCCTGTCTAACGGGTAATTGCATATTCTGATCAAATATGTTATCCTTTTATATGTACATGCTGTACAAGTCGGAGAAGTCGCGAACACAATGTGTCCGCGACTTCGTCCGCGCGGAATAGTTATTTTGGACATCATATTATTTATTTTTTCAAACAACCTCCTCGGATTTATAAATTATAGCCGATACCCATGACGTCATCCGCGTGCCGTCGTTCTTACAAATGAATCTTAAAAGATAGACATATACTATCTTGGATATTTTTAAAAATGATTTAAATAAAAGCCATTCGTTCGTAATAATACATTTGTTTCTTAGCCGATTTCGTAGCGCCCAAAGGAAGCCCTAATAGTTTCCACCTGTCACATTGTTTCTTCACTTCTATTGGTCGCAGCGTGATGTTATATATTCTAAAGCCTTCTTAGATAAATAGTCTTTACGCTTCACCCTAATAACTTACCTCAACCTTACCTCAACTGGGCTGACACTGCGTATTATTTTACTTTGTCGAATGGTTGCTAGTACCCATACTATCCTTATCAAATCTTATCATCATATTATTATTAAATTTACTTATATAACATTTTCTTACTTATCTGAGGTATTTAAAGTCCTAAATAGAACGTTATTTTAATTATAAATGCTGTATGTAAGGATGATTTCAAAATTACACAGTGCTACAAAACAGACCATCTTGTAGTTTTAGTCCAGACATTATAGTAAGTTCACTTCGGAATTCGGGATACGCAGCTGTAAGTCTGTAAATACTTGTATATTGCAATTGACATCCTAAAAGTAGTCTCAAAACCTACATATGGTAGAGTGTACGCAACTATTAGATTTCAAGGTGAAAAATAATCGATTTTGTGCGCTTTTTATATAAATATCTCATTTCCTATGGTTTTTTTTTTACTAGTTGTATTCATTGTCAAAGTTGTAGAATACAATTTTTTTTACAAATTTTGTTTAAAAACATTTTTTATACGATGAACCGTTTTCGAGATAGAGGGCGGACAGCGCGCGGTAACACTTCAGGTCAACCGGTCGGAAACGCGATTTTTTTTTAAATATACATGACAACATATTTTAAACAAAACATTAAATGTATATTCTAATCTCTTCGGAGTGTTATACATCTGTTGTCATCTTCAATTTTATAAGCTTCTTAAACTGTAAAAGTTCAGCCTGATGCGAGATTTGTCTCATCTCATCTGTTACAGACAGCCTTTGTTAAAATTTATTTGGAAACAGGATTATGAAAATCCACAAATAAGACTTTGGTTAGAATAATTGTACCCTAAGCCAGCTAGTAACAAAGATGTCTAGCACAGACATAAAGATAAATCACGAGTGTGTAATCCTATTACATATATATATTGTATATGTAATAGGATTGCCAAATGCTGTTCCATATATATATATGGGACAGCATTTGATTTTAATTACTGGTTGTTAATCAGATATTTAAGCCGCGTCTGAAGTAATTATTGCTTTATCGGGTATTGAACCTAAAGCCTAAAGCCTCGACAAATGCTCTAACCAACACAAAAATAATGTTTCAATTCGAACCAGTACTTATTTAGATTAGCGCATTTAAACAATTTGTTTAGCTTTATATATTAGTATAGATTATCTACATGGGACACTATATTTAGGAACTAAGACTGACTTTGTTTTAACTTAATTGACTCACCTATAACAAATATCAAAACCATACAAGCGACAGACTTCCTCGCCTTCGCCTGTGCTTCTCCTTGACCAGCGTGGAGTGCTCCAGGCATTTCCCTCGTGCTGGCCAGCAGTCTCTGCGCCATCAGGATATAGAAGAAGGCTATAACCAGTAGCGGTAGGGCGTAGTAAATTATTGCTTTTGCCAGCGTCATCCATCTGAAAGATACCTGTCGTTATTGGTTATCGCTAGGACGCTGCGTGGGTGGTCTTAGTGGGCGCGATGTTATGTGGAGTAGAGAATAATATAATATATTTCTAATTGAATTTGATGAGGATTTTGACATGTTATACATATAAATATTATATTAACAATTGGTGTCTGATACATAAATATATATTTTAAAGGTGTGACTGTGTTATAACAACGCATGTATATTTTTATGGCAGGATAGAACAATATTGGATTCAGCAACAAGGCGCGCTGTCGATCTATTTTGTCTACATTCCAAAATTCGACAATACAATTCGAAATTCGACCTATATTTCAATAATTATTTGAAATATATGGCATATGTCAAATATTGGGATTAGCGGGATATTTAAATTTTCTAACACATATTAAAATATATACATACAACTAATAATGTAACACATGTATTAAAGATAAAATAATATTTTAATATCCTGTAGAAAATTATTAATACAATGAATTTATAACAACGGGGGTTCGTAAGAATCGTATTCATACTTAGGATAATAAGTCCATCCAGGTGGATATGGCGAGCAATACAGTATTGTGACGTTATTGTGTATATACGCTGTTGATGTGTTGGAGAATATAGCAGCCGGTGCAGCAAATATCAACGCCGCTGCCCAGATGAATGTAGCGCAGACTAGTGGTAACTTTCGTAACTAAAACAAAAGAAAATACAGATCTTCGTAAAAATCTTTAAGCTGTAAAATATAATTATTATACTATTATAATGCGAAATCCCATAGCTCCTGGTGGGGTATGGGGCGAACAAATTATTGTGTCCATTACATTGATACGTTTTATGTAAAAACACTTTTAACAGTCACAAACGTTAAATATATATACATTTGCAATTTATTTTAACTTTTGTCCGACGTTTACGATGTTTGCTGCAGTTTGAAATACAATCAAAATAATAAAACGAAATGCTTGTTACGAGAATAAAGACGAACAGTCCATAGACATTTAAAATGTATAGACCACTCGACATAGACAATACAAGACAATAGATACTAGAACTAATACACAAGTTGACACTTATTTTTTTAATACGAATGCAAAAGATTTAATTAAAAGATTCCTACCTTGCATTGCTACCGATATCACTATAAAAATACTCCACCAACATTATCATCGAATATTCCGATTAATCATAATAATTCAGTAAATTGAACTGAAGTGAGTAAAGGTTAATTAATTCATCAATATTTCGGTAATAATAACCACTCACTCGATTCCCTATATTGGGGTTGTCAGATACAAATTACATTAAGACTTCTCGAGCCCAATAACTTATTTTTGTCACACTGCCACCTGGGAGATGAGATGTCTTCTTAACTTATCAACGCAACTGTCTTAGCGTCCTCTAATGGAAATGGAAAGTTTTCTTATATATTTTACGAACAAAAGCACTCCTCTATATTGCTGTATATGATTGTCACAATACAAATCTGAATTTAATACGATGAAAATACAGGGGTACAGTCGGCTGCAAAACGTGTCATCTCATTTCAAAAATGCCCATGCCGTACTTATATTATAATTGTAAAACAGTATTTATTTTTGAATGGCTGTGCCCGCGACTTCGTCGGCGTGGAATTGTGAATTTAGGTAGAATTTAATTATTCGGCTGTTAATTTATTAATAAAAGGACATTCAAGGCAGCCAATCTGTGTGGTAAGAGCTACTTTCCCACAACACTCCCATTCTCACCTCACATCACTCCTACTCGAACGCCCACTTCCATTCCCAAAAAGTCAAAGAAGAGAGCTTCATTGTTCTAGGTTCAAAAATTACAAATTTCCATACAAACTTTCATCCCCCTTTTCAACCCTTTTTTGACATTTAAATACCTGTCTTTCTCAGGCTTTAGACTATCTGTGTACCAAATTTCTTTTAAATCCGTTCAGTAGTTTCGCCGTTAAAGCCGGACAGACAGACAAACAGAGTTACTTTCGCATTTATAATATTAGTATAGACTGTAAACTTTGTGAAATTGTTGTATATGGAATACATGATTTGCTTTAATATTATACTTACAAACAAAAATAATTTGCTACGCTTTTTAAACCACATATATAACATAATTATGATGAATGAAATAAAACACGTTCTACGGTTCTAATCGCAAAATATGATAGTCAAAGTAATAAAAAATTGAAAATAAAATATCAGCTGGTTAAAAAAAAACAGTTGATTAAGAACTTCGACCAAGGATTAAATTCTATTGTCATCTTTATATTTTCTTGTATCTTAAAAATAGGTATTTATAATTAATCTTCTCACAAAAGCTGTTAAAATAAGCAGTATTTGAAATAAAAATCCATTCATGCCATTGTAGAGTTTCGATATCCTTTTTATAAAGGCAACTCATACTTAGCTATAAAATGGTAAGCGTTTTATACACCCGACTGTACATGCATATAGAGAAGTTATTAGCATTTAATATTTTAGTGCACACACTAACTTGCAGTTTCCTAAACGGATTGACAATTGCGCAATATCGTTCCGCTGATAGTGCAGTCAATGTGAAAACAGATACTCCTATGCTTATATCCTTTCCGGTTTCGGAGAGGCGACATATGACTTCCCCCCACGGCCATGACTCCAAAGTGTAGATCGTAGAGACGAAGGGAACGCAGATAAGAATAACGAGGAGGTCCGCCAGGGCTAAAGAGAAGATGTACCTGTAAAAAGAAAAATAGGTATACTAAAGTGAATTCTCGTTGATTAGACTTCTGTGCCTTGCCTGATTACAACAATTTATTGTTTCCTCGCGATACGCTCTCGATCTCTTTTGGCTTTGGATATTCAAAAATCGACTGAATCCGAAACGTGGTTATACTTGGCGGCTTTTCATCGCGGTTCGTGACCCGGACGTGTCAAGTCCACTAACCACTAAAACAACGAGCCAGTAAACTTTATAAACCATAAATTAATTATATAGTAAACTATCTGGGTATAACGCTATTCTGTAAACATAATGTTTGTGTTGCCGCTACATAATTACTAGACACCATGGGACTTAATCACACAGTAATCATCTATTACGGACTGTGCATACACATCGATGGGGTCGATAATATAATAGACATGTTCATTTCTCATTTTGGGGCGGACACATTTTTGTGTCCGTTTCACCGATCCATTCTTTAACAGGCAAGTAGTTGATCAGACTTCTGTGCCCTACCCGACCGAAACAAGCAGTTAACACAACGCTGGGCAATACGTTTAACCTTTTGGCTACAGATGCGGTCGTGTCTCATTACGATAAGTTTAGATACCTAACTTAAAACAGTCTTCTGGTTGAATCTACAAGACAGACTGTTTGAAGGCATGTTAGGAGACCTTATAGTTACAGTAATGATTAATTAGTTAAAGACAGGACTCAGTCTAGATTCTAGATAATTTTTAGTGACTCATCAGACAAAAGGTATACAAAAAAATGTAAATATTTTTAACACCTATTCAATAAGCTATTTGAAAATTTATTACATCGAACGACATTTATTTCATCTTAGATTTTTATAAAACTGATACATGTATATAAATAAAACATTATTGACGGTTTAAAACACGAAATACTTATAATTAGTACACATTACTGTCACGTGACTAGGGCTGTGATAAAAGACCTGAAACAGCGGTTTATAGATAAAAATAATTTTAGTGAATACTGTCATTAGTTTACGCGAGTACACATTTAAATAAAACACTTTAAAGGTTTAAAGCGCGATGTCTTAGTAAAAAATATTTTAACCTCGGCCCGACGTTTCGGATACTCTACAGCAGTCGTGGTCACGGAGTCATAATTTTCAAATAAGTTTAACTAATATATTGCACTTTAAACCGTTAAAGTGCTTTATTTAAATAATTTAAGTATTTATTCCAAGTTTTAAACCGTGTAAAAGTGTTTCAAATAGCTGGATGCTAGTCTTGCGAACTAGAGATCGTACTTTAAACATTTACTTTTTAATTCTATACTGTTTTTATGTAACAAGCTACATCCATTCACTATTTTATATTCCCAAGTACAAAATAATAAAAGACGAACGAATTAGTAATTGTATAATCTGGTTTAAAAACGTCCATTTCAAAGCACCGTTCGGAATATTATAAAACCACATTTCACGAGACAAAAGTGGATTTATTCGTGCATTATATTAATTAAAACTTAAATGAAAACCTCGCTGCTTAATGGCCAGTTTTGTAGCTGCTGCAGCGATGTTTTTAAGACGTATACTCGTGATCGTTAGTCAAGACTCTGCATTTCATTTGCGTGCGGTAGAAATAATTAAGAGTCTTCTCGCTTCTATGTTCTTGGTAAATTCACGCTATTAACATTGATATACGCTGGTAGTAGTGCAGATTTGTGGTTCAATAAGCTTAGCATAGCACACGAGACGTTCTAGATACAAACCCCATGAACAAAATAAGTATTGTCTGAAGTTTACGCGAGTAGTATCGAAGTAAAACGTTTTTAATGGTTTCGGATGCTGTAGCAGCCGTGTTCAGAACGTGGTCACGGGGGGTGACTGAAGGTTGACCCTAATGTCAAATTCAAATCTGCAACGCTAGCGCGATCTGTCGTATCTCAGAAGTCATCAACTAAGAAGATAAGTGAAAGTTGATGAACACAGTATGTTTGTCCGTTACTCGACATGGAAAATGGAATGTCGTATGAAAACAATATCTTATGAAAACGTGCATAGCTATGTCTGATAAAAGTTAGTAAAGTTTCAGGCGACACTTCAAGAACTAGTATATTTTTAACTTTGAGTTTAACACAATTCGGAAACTGATTCAAATCTTGACACTTTTATTTAGACCCATATTTTCTTTAAAATAAAAAAAAAAATTATTCCAAATTCAAAACTATGAATTTCACAGGCGATTCTCTACGACCCACAATTTTAAAACTTGTTGCCTAGTTATGCGTCAAGCAGGAGATGTCCTGGGTTCAAATCCAGGGCAGGTCATTACGTCCAAACAACTCATTTTGCTGTAACTAGAAGTAGAACACAGCAATGTATTCACCCCATGCCTCGCAAGGGAAAAAAGGAATTTACTTACCCCCCATGCCCCATGGGAATCGAGATTTCTCTTTAACTTAACGTTCAGTAACTACACATTTTCATCAAAAAACTTTGTATAAGATTACAGCATTCCTCGAATAAAACAGTCTCTTGGCGTTCACAGTTCAAAGACGAACACCGAATGACAAAATATATGTGATTGAGTTGGAAAGCTGTGGATTTGGGCTTGACTGAATTTTCATAGGTGCTTGACATAAAAACAAAATAGGTCGACGAGGCATTATTGTTTCGTGGCATAGTGAGCTTTGCCGATGTTGTTTATTATCATAAAAGCACGAAAATCTGCGATGCGAACGGCGACTAGTCGAAGAGAATATTCGCGCGACTTCATAGTGATTCATGGTTGATTTGTTTGTTTCGCTGGTATGCATGACTTCGTAGATTGCAATTTATTTCAGACACCAAATTGGCGATAATCCCGTGGCCTGGTTATGACTTTTGGTCGTTTGATGAATTCTTTCAATAGCGACGATTCGACCTTACAAAGCACATCAGTTTACGCTTCAAAGTATAAGACGTCGAACCTTAACGCCCTATAGTTAAGGTTGAAATTACATTGCACGAGAGGTGCATGTATCAATGGGTTGAAAGATTTCGACGAGGACGCGGTATCTCAATTGGTCAGAGCACGGAACGCTCTGGATGCCGGAAGTATTGTCCGTGCCGTAAAATTTTTAATCTAAAATCGATTTTTAATTTATATAATACCATGAGCAAAAAATATATATATTTTAGTTTTCATGTATATTTATTTTTTTATGAATATATAATTCGTTATTCTTACGGCCATGCGCTGAAAAGCGCCAGATAAATAATTCGTACACCAATTTAAGGAAAAAGTCTTATCCCCTAGGAATTTTAAAAATTGTTTTTCTTTCGTCTGTTAAATTTATTTCGTGAGACAAATTTTCTGAATTATACAGTATTCGACTTATAGTTTCTTTCGTTTGATTGCAAAGATATGTTGTTTTAAGTGTATGTAATTGTGTGAATACAATTAAAATATGTTCATTTAATATATCACTAAATTAAATAAAACAGTATTAAAGGAATAAAACGCGAAATATATTAATCCGTTTCGTTCGCCATTACCACGACACCTAAAAATCGTATCGTAAATTAAATTCGGGTCGTAAAAGTTCAGTAAATTTCGCGTTTCAAACCGATTGTTTTTTTACCCAAACTTTAAAAAATACTTACGTGTTCGGAGCGTTCCTCATACCCCTATGTCGTACGTAAACTATGACCAAGGTCCCATTTCCCAGCACCCCCACTATGAAAATGATCGCAAATATGACCGGAACCAGGTAGGTTTCTACCCTGTCCTTGTATGGGGTATATTCGCTGTCCGTTGAATTGTCTTCGAAGAAGGTGATGTTTGTACTTGCTGGGGTGTACATTGTTCTGAAACAAGATATTAGAATATAGAATAAGTTTTTAGTATTGAAAAGGACAGGCAAGCTTCTGGTTCATTTGATGGAACGTGATATACCACAGCCATATAATATCTTGTTTGTGTGAGAGAAATATTTCAAAAAATATATTTTATTTTTTATAAAAAAATATATATACCGCTGCAGCCCGACGTTTCTCTATGACCACGGCTGTTGCAAAACATCCGAAACGTCGGGCCGCAGTTCAAATTAGTTTAACGAATATATATCGCATTTTAAACCGTTATAGTGGTTTATTCAAATGTTTAGGCAATATTTGAATCCAATGTCGTATTGTCATCGCCGCAATGTTTGAACTAATCAACAACGGTTTGCGATTTCTGAAAGTAGATTAGATTTCAAAATCCGGTGTGTACTAATTAATCCGCTGCGCGTTAGTTTACTTATCCTGTTTACTTTAATAATGTGGGAGTCGCTCAAAGACGTGTAATACATCTACTTTGTACGTCGATCGTTCTTGTAATTAGATTTGTGTCTGCATGGTTAAGGAGAGAAGAAAAAAACACCTTTCAAACAAACACTACATCTTTAAATAAAACACTTGTTACCGTTTATAACGCGAAATATATGAGATATTATTATTATCTCTGCCTTGGTCACCGGGGACTTTCGCGCAGCTTTAACGACCGAAACTTCAGGCCGTAGTTAAAATGCGTTTTGAACTGTTAAAATTGTTTTACTTAAATGTGTATTACTCACGTTAATTACAGATAGATATCAAAACTTTCGATCAGATGTTGCCTTTCCTTTACAATTTTATTTATCGAGAATCGAATCCACGACCGTTTTGTTCTGTTCGTCTTACCTATTGAGCCGTAGTAAGTTAATAACATTTAAATAGCAAATAGGAACACCTTGAAATTTATTCAACGCCAGCCAATTTGCGTTAGGTGGATCGTAGAACGGGGATATTACCACAAAATTGCGCTCATCTCGACACCAGTAGGGTTGGCAATTATTATTTCAATTTGTGGTATAGTGCGTAAGCTGGCCGTTCATAGCTGTAATATAAGCCTTGGTCAGCTTATCTATTCGGATGTGACATTCCGCAAAATAAGCAATTGCATAGAGTCAAATATAAGAGCGAGTATACTGAATTATATCTACACATAAAACAATATTATAGGTTTGTCCACCTTCGCTTTACACTATACACTGACGACGCCGGTTCAAGTCCTGCCCGAGTCGAAAAATGTTTTAAATTTTTTTTTCGATTTTCGAACTATATAATGCCATCATGTGCAATAATATGTTAAAAATATTAACGTTTACAAATGATGATATCTGCATTAAGAATTGTTTGTATACAATAGTTATATACATTACTAGTTGTGCGCATAGAATAGTTATTTTGGGTATGAAAAATTGGTTTCTGCAAACCTTTCTGGTTTCTTCATGTTTATTACATTAAATTGTTACCCACAACGTCGACCGCGTCCCGTTGTTCTAGCGAATTGATCTTAAAAGACATTTTGTAGATTTATTTAAAGAGGAATCCGTCTTTTATACATATTTTTTTGCATCAATTTCGCAGAGCACGCAATGGAACCCAAAGCTGAATAATTTTCCTCGTGTTTTCAATATTTTGCACTATTTCTTTGCTCCATTTGGCTTTTCCCGATAAATGGTGTTTCCAAAAAAAAGTTTTTTTAATTTGAACGAATGATTCCTGAAATTAGCGCGTTTAAACAAACAAACACTTCAGCTTTCTAATGTTAGTATAGATATAAAAATATTATGTTGATGGAGTATAAGAGCGAAGCATAACTGAAATGTAGCATGCTATAATCCCCATACATAAATCATACATTAGTCACACATCCGCGTCCACAAAAAAAAATAGGTTTTTTTAACTCGACTTGCCTTGACACACCGCGACCACGGCTGCTGCAAACCAGCCGAAACGTTGGAATATACTTAAAATCAAAGTTAGTTGCCTTTTAATCCGTTAAAAGCGTTTTACTTAAAAGCTTTAAAATTGTTCTGTTATGGTGGCTCTGAAATTATTCTATGGTGAGATTAACGTGTTCGGAAGCACTACGCGTGAATAATTCGTATTCATAAGCATGGTCGAGTGGATCTGTCGAAAACAGACGTGTTACTGTTGCCTACTGATATGAGGCTTATATCTATTATTATTAAGTTAAGCATATTTGAATTACAAGCATTGAGTGGGCTGAAAATATTATAAGCAACTTAACAATTCTCGTCAACCTTTTTCGTCTCACAAGTCTTCTTTTTGAGAGAAGAAAGAGTTTCTAGATATACCATTCTTTCTCTGTATTGATCGATGCTAGAGCATAGGCCGGCTGTTGCAATCTAGGATGTTTTACTAACGATAATAACGTCGCCTTTTTTAAACTAATGGTGTAAATGCCTAATGCACGCCCACGTCGGGCAATAGTGACATGGGGAGTGTGGTAAATCGAATTGCCGATCAGAACCCCTAAACACACCACCAGCCCTCTACGATGCTTTAATGGAGCCCTGGGAACACATTTGTGCGACTCCAAAGCTCCCCAGATAATAACGTCGCATGGAAATCTCGATATTTAATGGGTAGTGGGAAAATCTAAATTTTCATCCGAAACACCACGAATAAATAGTAAAAAAATTTACTTAACAAATATGACTATTTGTTGTAACAATTTAATCTGGCTCGAAGGACCATGTAAATAATTGGTTCAGTGTTAACACCACCGCGGATGGGTATACTGACGGTACTGAGCTTTTTTATGGTGTCGATCCCATGACATAACATTTTCCAATCATATAATAATCGGAATATATTTAAAATTTTTCGAACTTATCGAACAGTAGATAAATAAAATCCTATTAATATAAAATCCAGCTTTCCCGTGTGGGGCATGAGGCGAACACATTATTGTGTACGTTTCACTGATTTATTCTACTTACAGGCATATAGTAGAACGGATTTTTGTGACATGTTCGATTAAAACAATTGATTATTAAATACTGTCTATAGTTTACGCGAGTAGTACACATTTAAATAAAACACTTCAACGGTTTAAAACGCGATTTATTAGATAAACTTATTTGAAAATGATTTTTAACTTCGGCTCGACGTTTCGGATGCTTCGCACCAGCCGTCGTGGGCTGCTGCAAAGCATCCGAAGGTTTCACAAATATATCGCGTTTTAAACCGTTAAAGTGTTTTATTCAATTGATTATTTCCCCGAGGTCTGCACAAGAGCTTCAATGGTAGTTATCACGTTTAAGGGAGGTGGTTTAAATCCTGTTAGGTAATCCTTTATTTAAAGAAAAGAAGATGAAAAAAGATTGTACAAAATTTCAATGAATTTAATGTTATTTGATATTGTAAGGAATGTTCATTAATCGTGCGTTTGAAACCGGTTGAGTAAGACTATTTGATCGTTATTGAATATTTCCTCGCTCCAAATTATTTGAATCTTACAGTTATTGTACTTTGTCTAACATAGGATGGCGAGGTTGTCATTTCGCGGTACAATTAACTTAATAAAATAAGCCTTTATTGTTCCCCGTAGGCCTTCTCAATCATGTTGTATTGATGTCTTTCTTTCGTATTCGACTCAGGCATTTTGGGCTTTCTTCTTTTCTTAGGTCACCTTTCCATGTTTTAAACTTTTTCTCTATTTTATTTGGATCTCTTGAATACCACTATGTTATTATTTATTTTTTTCCTTCCATTCCTATATTGCGTAAATTTTTTAACGAAACATAAATTTCATTAGTATTTCATCTATGTAGGAAACAAATAAAATTGATTTGACATAATTATATGCAATACTTTTAACAGTTATACATATTTTTAACAACGCAAAGTCAACAGTTTTATGGCCGTTAATAATTAGAAATGTTTGATGAAATGAGCAATTTTTAGAATTTCCAAAAATTAAGACAATACATACCCATTAAAAACCCAACAAAAAAATTACTTGTATTTTATTCATGTATTTAAAATCGCAGAAATCTAATTTTGTGAAAAATTTAAATCTAAATGTACGTATAATAAATCAAAATGATCATCCTATGTTAAGCAAACTAGAGACTACTTGATCGTTATTGAACATTTCTCAGCTCGCAAACATTTGACTCTTGCAATATTGAAAGTGACATTCCGATTTAGCGTGACACTGTTTTCGAACTTTAATTTTTACATTTTACGCAAAACCTTAAAATTTTGCGAAACGCCGCCATTTTGGTTACAATAAATCCACAGATAACCGAAAATGCATTTGCCATAGGCTTGGGCAAAATATTTTACCTGTTCCAATATATGGGATGGGATATAACTTTTGTTATCGCCAATGTTTGCGGTGAGATATATTCGACAAAGAAAAGTAACGGCAGCTTCAAAATATATGGTAACAAGTAGATTATTAAAGAAAAACAGTTAATAATATAAAAAAATACATCTATACTAATAATAATTCGTATTCCCTAAGCTCTAAAGTACTGGCCTTGTTCTGGTCGACGCACGGTTCTGGTACTCCCGGCATAAACGTGCAATATGCATTTTCACCATCAGTTAAAAAGAATATACACTGAGTTGAGAATTACCCCCCGTTCACCGATAGTCCGTGTTTAACACTGGTGTGATCAAATAGTAGTGTCGATCAAATTTACGATGCGCGTTCAATGGTTTCTCGTTTGCAACAGAACTTAACTACATTTTCAGTGTATCTTATTTAGATATAAAAGCAACGATTTTTTATGATATATGAGGTCAGACAAGCACGGAGTTCACTTAATCGTAGGTAATATACCCCAGCCTACAGCATCTAAATACGATGCGCTATCGACCCTTTTTGGCTTTGGATATCGGAAATCCACGAATTTCCAGCAAAGACCAACATGTTTTAGTCTCCCCGTGACCACGGCTGCTGCAAAGCATCCGAAACGTCGGGCCGAAGTTCAAAATAAATTAATTTCAATGACTTAAA